AGTAAAGTACAGATAACCAAGATTTCCACTTAAGTACAGTAACAAAGTATTTGTACTTCGTTACTTTACAACTCTGAGTAAAAATGACACAATTGCTGCTCAGAGGAGGGTTAAATTTAGAAGTGAGAATGCGTAAAGGACGTCTTTGTCGTTCTTCAAAGACATCGACTGGTTCCTTTCCCCCAGTGGCCTCTTCTGACAATACTCTGACAAATTTACCAAGCAAAGACAGAAGCTTCTGCAGCTGCTTCTAAACTTCCAAGTAACACAGATTCCAGCTCTTCAGACCTTTTAAGTGGTATGAATAGTTGGCAGGCATGCAAACGGCCTGAACTTGCCCTGACATAAAACAACCAAACCTCAGATGTTTTGGCAGAATAGCGTTACGGTAAGAGGGAGCGCATGGTGGCTTATTAGTCAGAGAATCGTGTTCCTGTTACAACAGTAACAGCCTCTCCTGTTTCTCTGCCTAAAACATCCACACAGAGGGCTGAGGTCAGATCACCTCTCTGAGAGCGGACGATGAAGGCCTTGGTGTTATTTATTCYATTCATAGAAACAAAACACCCTTTAAGTATCAAATTTGACTGGATTTGTGCATCAGTTTGAAGGTTTCCCCTTTTATTTGGGGGTGTTCTTTAAAAACAAGGTTTCTGTGCTCATACTGATGAGGCAGGTAAAAGTATAAATCTGACCTAAATGCTGACACGGCGGGTCTCGTGTTGCACTGCTCTATTTGCCTTCGCATCACAGAGCTCTTTTTTTTTTTCTGGAGGGCCATAAAAGCATCAACATTATGCTCGGTGAAGCATGGAAATCCTGAGATTTGCAGACTGGATGGCACACAGGCTTTTCCTCTGCTGTACCTGCACTTTTCTATTCCTTCTCTCTTGACATCTGTGGGAAGGCACCATCTACTGTTATTAATTGCCTGCATGCAGTAATAAATCTTGCAGCCCCCCATGAGGATTCAATATTGTACAGCCAGTGTACACAGCAGGATCATTAGCCTAGGCCGGTGATAGATAAAAAATATATATAGAAGAAGGGGGGAGCAGTCATTCTATGTTGTCATCAAAGTTTTGTGAAATATTCTGAGACAGCAGAAGAAATTTACTGATAAAGCTAACAACATGACTGTTTTTTGTTTTATTTATCAAAGAACATTATCTATAATAAACGGAAGGCGTAAAAATACCTTCTTTGGCCTCAGCTCCACCTCTGTGATCCTGGAGGGGTCCACCATGGGTTTGGGCCTCCGCAGGTTCTCGATCAGGCTCTGCCATTGCGTCGGCAAGCCCACAAAGCAACCCCGCTTGGCGTCAAACGAGGTGTGGACGCGGTGCTCAAAGTTTCTGGGCGCTGAAATCTCGGGCCTCTTCTTCTTCTTCTTGCGGAACATCTTCAGGTCCGAAGGGGCGGCAGCCTGCTTGCTTCAAAATGTCCCTGTGGAGAGAAGYGTTCGGTTTAAAGCACTTTGGGCGGCACCTGATTAAATAGCAGTAACCTTGTTTGAATGTAAGCAAATTTCTTGCGCTGCAGAGCAGTTAAAAACAATCGTTCTACCCTCTGACTAGGTGTATTCAAATGCAATCTTCAAAACGATATTTCAGCTTGTAAAACATTCAAATGGCCTCTCTTCTCTTCAAGCTGTCTTGCGTCCCAGAACATGAGAATGCCCCACATTTCCCAGAGCCTTGAAGGCTGTCACGAGCGCCTTCCACTGAAAACAGCTCCGAGGAGAGTGGACGGATTTGTAAGCACATGTGTAATGAAGGATATCTGGTCAATTAAGGCTTATTCATTCTCTCTCTGCCCTTTTACAGACGAGCAGGCCGGGCTGGCCAGCGCCTACGGGCTTCCACTGCATTAGCAACAAAACACACACACATAAACCATACCAAGCTATCCTTCAAACCCTTTATAAACCTTTTATATCCGATTCTAATTAGTAGCTAGTACGCCCTCTGATTGCAGAGAGGGCCACCAGTTAATCTTYGGACATATTTGCTGAGCCACTGACTCAGGTTTACTGTATGTTCAGCTTTACTTTCTATTCAAGTGGAGGGAAATAATTAAATACGTTACATCTCATTTTCTTTGCTGCACAGCTGCACCGAGAGATAATCACCCACACTTAGCCTTGTGACTAATATTTATACGGTTTTACGTGGATCGTGTTGAAAAGAGCATCCTGGAAAACCACTTTACTGACGATAACGTCTTAATAACTGCTTCCAAACGTTGCACCAAAAYTCAGCAATTTTTAGGAACTTTGTCCAAAATGATGCTTATAGTTCCTCCTCTCCTCCTATAACTAGAAGTGCATGAAGAACTTGGAAAAAGTAACTAAGTAAAGGTAAAAACACTTTAACAGAAAATGGCGTCACAGATGAGAAAAGTACTYAAGTAAAACTAGTCATAATAATTGAGAAAGAAAGTTAAATTTATTTTTTATACACACTCTAAAAAACAAAGTGTTGAATTTACTTAACCAAATTATGTCAACTGATTCCACTAAACCAAAGCAATTCAAYTAAATTGCTCAGTGGGACACAGTTACTGAAAGCCAACAGACAAAAAAAGGCAAAACAGTTTCATGTTTTTCTGATTTAAAATATAACATAAAATAAATTAGATATTAAATTTTAAAAAGATTATCTATAGTATTTAAAATCTAATTTTTATATTAAATAAAGTCATTGGAAGGCATATTTTGGCAAAGTCTAAATAAAAGTTTTATTTTAACTCATCAGGGGACCGTACTTAAGTCACGCACAGGCCACATTCGGCCCKTGGGTCACCAGTTGAATAGCCCTACACTAAACTGAGTTAGTAAACTGAGTATATTTAGCCATTTATATATTTTCTTTTAAGAAAATATGTAAATTGCTTTACTCAACTCGGTTTAGTCATGCTGAATTACTGTCATATTTAAATTTGTGGCGTCACAAAGTGTTAAATTTTAAGGTTATACGTAAAAGTGTAATTTTTGTTTTTTAAATGTAACAGAAAAAGCAAAAGCTACGATTWAAAAAATACTTGGTAAAATTACAGATCCTCAAAAAAAAWGACAAGTACTATARCAAAGTAAATGGACGTCATACACACCCCTGGTTATAACTAAACTCAGAAGGTTTGTTGAGGCTGTTGCACTCGTAAAGATAAGTCATCCCTGTGTAAAACTTCATGGATATGTTAAACAGTGACAGAAGAAAATTATAATTTTTTTTTTCATTTTATTTTTTTCTCTGAAAGTACAAAGACTTCACAGGTTTACTACAAGTGTTTACATACAAGTAAAAGATGGTAAACACATCCTGATCACTGTGAGCTAAATCACTTGTGACCAATAAACTAAAAAGCACTCCAAATTCAATTAACGCCTCTTGTTTATTTTAGCCTAATTCAGCCTTAGAGGCCTACAAGGTGCCCTGAGCTTATCTGACAGCCTCCCATCATGCATTGTGGGAGCTGAGAAAATGAGTTTTGCCGCCCTCTGTGACCCAGCAGGCAATCACGCCGGCAGCCTTTCCTCCCTCCGCTTCCATCCCTGAAAACCAGCGTGGCTCTAAACGGCTTCAACGATGCCCGATATAGGAGACGTACTGTTGACTAAAACTCACGCCACTCACCMCCGCCGCATCACTGATGGTGCTGGAGGAGATCAGGCCTACCGGTCGCCCGAGCCAAGCCCCRCTTCAATACTGTAATGAGGGCTGGGATGCGAGGAGAGACGTGTCACTGTCCAAAGATAATTCAGTCAGAAGGCTAATATGCTAAGTGTTGCATAAACGTATCACTCTGTGCTCACCCTATGTCCATAATGTGATGCTGAGGAAGACTTTAATTGCATCTGACAGGGACATTATGGTGAGAGGAGAGAGGAAGTTGTGTCCGAGATCACAGGCAGAGCGGGAAGCATTGTAGAAAACAGAAATCCATTTTCCTTCACACAAACATAAAAAGGCTTTTAACGCCCAGTTGTTATGTCTTTTCAAATTACAAGTGCCTGGGGAAGAAACGAGGTGCAAAACTGAAGATTRTTATCTGTGTTTTCCTCCGCTGGACATCAAATCGTCTTCTTAGGTAGCTGTTCGATGTTCCTGAACAAATATTTACACATTTTACATTCAYGAATTCCTTTAAAAACAGATCAATCATTATTTACACCTGAGTAAAACGCATTCTACCATCAGTAACAGGGAGACAAACAGAGAAGCTGGCTTCATCATCAGTTTAAGCTAGAGGAGAAATACAACAGATTATTAGGGCYACACTATGAGATATTTTTTATTACAAGAATAAACTAATGTAGGTGCTAACTTGATGTAGGTTTTACAAATAAGGAACTCTTTTACCACATCAGCATCAAATTTATATCAGTTGCGGGACTAAATGGATTCATATGATAAAAATTGGCATTAATGGCTGCATTGTTGGATTTTGTCATCACATGATGTGGATGGAAGTACCGCGGTAGTTACACTAACCGTGACCCAAAAGTAAGCAATTTCACTTTATTTGCAAAACATTATGACTTTAATGTTTTATTAGAGAAAAAAAATTGTAGTGTGGCCCTAATAYTCCATCATAGAGAGCAGACTRTTTGACCAGTGTTGCAGTTTGAAGAGTCTAGAGATCCAACTTATCACTGGGAACAAGTTGAAAGACACACATATTTCTGGTCAGGGCAAACTGAATTCAAATGTTGATGCATGWATTGATTCACAAGGTTTAATAACATGCACCTGACCCTATTATGACCTGTCCCACTCTGCYAGGCCTGCGTCTGTCTTGATAACAATATCCTATTGATCTCTGAGATGAAGCTGATGCACAGGGGTGAACGGTACCCAGAGTCTGATCTCGCTTTCTGGTCACATCTCGCAGGAAGCTGCTGGGACTTGACCCTCTGCCTCAGTGGCTTGTCTTGAATCTATCAAAGTGCTGAGGCTGAAAATCGCCAGATATGAAGTACTGGAAAGSGATGAGGTCATCCCAAAGATTCTGCTACATTTTCTACAATTTTTTGCTGAGGYGAGAAATGAAATATATCTGAAAGCCAAAGAAGTTGAGAACGTGCACGTTATAATAACTACACCTTATTTAGTCTTAATCATTAATAAATGGTTAGTTAGCCTTAAAAACATCATTACTTTAATTATTCATGCTTAAGTTATAAGTTACATTTTTTAATGCTTTATTTTTGCCAACACCAACATACTCATTGTTTATYCATGCTTAATAACTCATGAATTACGGTAACTATTCTGTAAATGTACTTTCACACCAGGTGTYAGACACGTATGAATGGTTAGAGGWCATTTGAATCGACTAATCCTGTTGTTCATCAATAATTAAAGCAGTAGTTAAGTCTTATTGTGAACCCTTCTAAAGTCCATACTGCAGGAAAGTGCCAGAAGCTTTAAAAAATTATATTTTGCAATAAATTGTTTTTGCCTTTTTTTGTCACTATCCAAAATATGCTAAGCAGAATTTTATTTATTTGAATGTTGATAGGGCTGCAACACCTAATCAAATAATTAGTAAGTTATTAAAAGTGTTGGCAACAAATTTCATTATCAATTTGTTGTGTCGGGCGATTTAYGATGGAATTAATTWAATGATTAAGCTTTAAGTTTTAATTTGCTGCTATATCTGAGTGAAGACATTTGCCTTACRTACTTGTCTTRACCTAATACTGCAAATAAAACAAGGCATTTATTGAATTATTGTAATAAGCATCTGTCTGGACTGAAAGTATTCTAAACATGATTGTATAAAAGATCAAAGATAAAGACTATTATAATAGTTCACTCTTCCCTCAAGGACATAATTTACAAAGCTCATGGAGAGAAAATAGGAAGAGATTTTCAARGWTATAGCACACATTTGTGTAGATTCATTGTTTTTTACCGAAGCTATTTGACAGACATTATGATGCATTACAAATTCTTTACAATTTAATATCATAGTAACAGAATTCTCTAACAACAAACAGTTTTTTGTGCAATTTGCTATGTCAGTTTTGGAATAAAAAGGGTCCAAATTATAAAAGTGTTGTTGTTTTATGTTTTCAGATTCATCGATTAATTGGGGGAAAAATCAAATGATTTATCGATTTGTATAACCCTTAATGGCATCCCTAAATGTCGACAAAACCCTGAAGKGTCGTTCCTTTTTACTTGTAAAATTAGACTAAAATTCTAGTCAGGTCAAACACTTTCTAATAATTAATACATGTCTATCACATGGCGTTAAAGTACATTCATATGAGCATTTACAKACATGTTCACACAGTAAAGAAAAGTTCATTTATGAGTTGTTAAGCATGAACAATGAGAGTGTTGGTTTTAGAAGTAATTAGCCTTTATGGGTAAAGCATTCATAGATGTGGTAATTTATAGCTTATTATAGTGCTGGGCGGTATACCATTTTGTACC